TATATATATATATTTTTTTTATATATATATATATATATATATATACAGTACTTTACAAGTGAAGCTGCTACCAATTAATTACCGCAAATTTACAGTGAAAAGTTTTACAGTGTGTAGAAAGTTGCTTTCGAACAGAAACTTAAAAACAAACTGAAACATCCATCCATTCATTTTCCAAGTAGCTTATCCTCCTAGGGCAGGGGTAGGCAAGTTCGGTCCTAGAGAGCCGCAGTCCTGCAGAGTTCAGCTCCAACCCTAATCAAACACACCTGAACAAGCTAATCAATGTCTTCAGGATTACTAAGGCTATAGGCAGGTGAGTTTTTTTTTCAGGGTTGGAGCTGAACTCTGCAGGACTGCGGCTCTCTAGGACCGAACTTGCCTACCCCTGTCCTAGGGTCATGAGGATGTTGGAGCCCAGTGTCTCAGGCCGAAGTCAAGGAAACCCCCGGGACAGAATTGAATTGGCCTTCGAAAAAGGTTTCAATATTTTTGGTAATATTAAAAAAAATAATAATAATTTGTGTGGAGAAAAATGGTATATTGCATTGTTATATACTTTACTTTTACATAGTAAATTGTGACCAGGGGTTGTAAAGCTCAAAAACTGACACAAAAATCCCCGTAAAATTAGCATAAAGTGGTCGTTAATTTAGGTGGAATTCTTGTAAATAAGAAAAAAAAAGTAAATATTTTTCACAAACTGTAATACTTGGATGATTTTCATATAATTATTATTATTAGTATTTTTTAACAGACAATTATAACACTATACTTTGTGTTATAAATCCAATGACAGCTAACACTGCTGCATGAATGATTCTAATACGTCTGAGGGAGTGATGGCAAATTTGACATCTTTCCCTCATCTGACCAACAAAATCAATCTCTTATTTTTTATGTATGTATTTATTTTTTATTTTTTTACTCTTTTAGAAAAGTCATAGAAACGATGCTGTGGATTTTTTTTCTTCCTTTGGCTATTGGAGCATATGGGAATGCAAAAATTTATATTTTGTACATATGTTTACAACACCACAACTGTACAAACGTTTACCCAACTATGAAGACTTTTCCTTCAGAGAACCCCTGAAATGTGAAAAGGGTTCATTGTTTGAAAACTCTGCCAAAAATGTCCGTGTACACATATGTCTGTCCAGATTTCATTTGTGCATTTCCTGATGTTCAGTTATTGCATGTGACCGACAGTTGAGGCCCCGTCACCAGGGATGGTCAAGCGAGAAAAATTCTGCAGGCCGTGACTGAGCATTTGGTACCACATTCAGTGCCGTGCTCTGAGCTCCTAAGAACGGTTTATATAAAAAAGCTAGTCCCAGTCGCAGTCAGCCATGATGATCCGGCTAAACCTGCGCATCTTAACCAAGCACCTGTTATAAATGATTTGGAATTAGAGCTGCACACACTTAGCATTAGGAATTTGTGCATTTTCCCAAACCTATCTATGAGTAGATCATAGCTCTAGATTAGAGCACCTCTGTTAAATACATCCATTAAAAATGCATTTTTAATGCAACCTCTGAGCTCAGCATTCGTCTACAAACCTTTTTTTTTTTTCCTGCACTAAAGGACATAACAGTATTGCTCGGATTTCTTAATGGCAGACAAGCTTAATTTTAGTTTGGCAATCATGAGGTCACACATTAAGGAAGTGCTCAGATTTGAGATCAAGAGAGATGTGCAGCCATGCCTGAAATAAAAGCTGAAGATGAGGTAATTCTTCTGTACGTGTTTGTTTCTCCAAAGAGGAAGAATAGAACAAATGAGACATTTACATCAGCATTTCTCAAAACACTTCTCAAAAATATCTGATATTTTCTGTCCTAAGATAAACCACCAGTAGTCTCGAAATTATTCATGACTTAATAAATAATGGATAAAACATAAAATTGGATTCACTGGTTATTTTCTAAACTAGACAATATTGCCAAACAATAATAAGGCAACCTGAAATATGTGTTGCATTATTTAAAATAATGTTTAAGGGCACGTCCTGAGAATCAACTTATGAATATATTTTAAATGTCACAGTGTAGGTCAGTTCAAAGCACTAGGCTGGATAAATCCGAGACTATGCTTGAGCTTACAAGAGCTTAATCAATAAGTGGCATCTTAAGGTCAGTGATATCAATGCAGGTGTCCTCTGAAGGACATGTTCATATGTCTTTTTCATATGTTTATTTTTATCTACACTTCCATGTCTCAATGTGTTTCACGTATATACACCTCAATGTCTAATTTCTCGACAAGTAAAGTTATAAGTCTGCTTTAAATAGTGTTAATTTTCTTGGTGTGTTAAAATCCTAGACTATTCCTGCTAAGTCCTGTTTACCTGGTTAATTTGGGCTAAACATTGATTTGCATTCAGAGGTATATTTGCATCAGATTTGATGATGCATTAAATGGCTTCATGGCCATAAGTGTAAACTTTCCTTATTGTATGGCAAGTGCAGGTTAACATATTCAGTTTTAAATATTTTGTCTAGCTTGGTCACGTGAGTTTATTTAATTTCATTTTATGAGTAGGTAATTGCAAATGTCTCAGCTGCCTAGCGTTAATTCATTAAATACTGCACATTCTCTGTGCCTTAGCGTTCTCTAAAGCATCCGCTATGACTCATGTATCACACAGATATGCATCTTATTATGCTTTCATTCCAGTTTTGCCAGAAGCAAATTCATAAGCAACTGATTTCAGACCACTATGAGAAAGTTAGTGGCTGCCTCTGGACCAGAAACCTAATATTGTACACAACTATGTGAAGCATTATTGAATTATAAATACATTAAAATCATTCTTTGCTGCTAATTTTGAGAGTCTGTGGTTTATAAACCTTCCATTCCAGCATTGTCAGAACTCCTTAGTAATGACAACATTGACAGATTCATTATCAGTTGAACTGCATGCTGGCCAGACGGTGAAATTAAAATGCACATACACACCTGATTTGCTTCACACTGATCTCAATTGAACTGTTAATAAGTTGTTTTGTGGGATCGGTTTTGTGTCTTGGTAATGACTGTAATTGCAGGGACAAGATTTCTACCGTTTTGCATAATTATATTTTCGTTTTTTAAGTACACTACAATCACAAACTCTTACTTCTAAGTGGTATACTTACATGTAATAAAATCATAAGAAAATAAATAAATAATGGATTTTTCAGTTAGTCAAAAATTGATTAAATTAACAATAATGGGTGTGCAGTTTGCAGCTTTCATGTAAAATCCTGTTTTTTTTTCCTCAGAATTTTATTAATGTGTTTTAACACTAAATAGCTTTGATATATAATGCACACTGACATTTGACTGGGGATATGCTGTTATGCTGACTGATTCATTGAAGTAATGACACGTTATGACCAATGTGAAAGGAAATGTGTCATTATAAAATATGCTGACCACTGGCAACTAAAGCTGACATGTGATTCATGATTTTTTTCCCACTCATCTGTGAATAAACTGAGGCTGTGTCCCAATTCACATTCACTATTTCACTGACATACAGCAGAGCAGTTTAATTGACATCATGACTTCAGAACTCATTAGTTAAGGTTGCTGTGTTGGGATTTGTTTACAATTTTCAGGAAAATCAACCTATAAATGGCTGACAGTGTACTGTACTTAGAGCTGACTCTGCACATTCAACTGGGATAAAAGAAAGTATTTTAACAAATAACATAATATTCAAGGCCTGTGTTTTCTTGGCATGCAGTTGAAAAACAGCAGTTCAATGATACACTTAATTGACAGTTGTGCTCTATGCTCAATCTCAGTCAACTTGTCAAGGATCTCATTCAAAGAGTGTGGGTTTTATCCCATCCCAGCCTATAACATGTTTTGTTCTTGAGCGTCATGTTTAACCTCAGGTTCATCTTTAAGAGACAGTCCCTGCAATCAGTGTTCTGTACTCTGCTCAGTGACAAACACACTTTATATACTGTTTTTATGAAATGCTAATAGCTTTGTCAAATTGAAATGCTAATAACTTTGTTATCATGCTACATTTTGCATCAAATTTAAATTAAGCAATAAACTGGTATGAATTTTGAATACAGTCATGGCTAAAGGGCATTGCTAGGCACCAGTGGCATGCATTGGGTTGGGGGATTGGGTTCTCGAGCCCCTGGCACTTTAATCGCCTTTAAGTGACCTTTTGGCCTAATCAAGGTGCCCCCTCACCCCCGGACCACAATTTCTATTCAGGGCCACTACTCCCCTGCCTATATATAGATAAATATTAGGCATGAACTATAATCTGTCTATCAATACACATGTGGATGAAACCCCTTTAGCATGAATACTTTTCACATGCTTTCAATATGGCACTCAGGGCCTTATTGCTGTATAAAACAGTTAAAACATTTGGCAAGTTCATTAAGTGTTCTCGTTTCACTATAAGATACAGTCCCTGACATGGAAACGATAACTGAACAGCATTGTACATTTATGCATTTGGCATGATGCTTTTATCTAAGCAACTTACATTGCATTCAAGGTCTACATTCATGCATTCCCTGGGAATAAAAACCATGACTTTGGTGTTGCTGGCACCACTTTTTGAGCTACATGAATGATTTTATTGGTGTAATACAGTTATTATACTGCATAAAACTGGTCCTCGCATATGATTGGTCAAGCATTGGTCGTTCTGAGAGTGCTGGAATAACAGCACTGGGAATCTTTACTGTTTATAATATGACTCGGCTTGTTATTGTGTTCCCTCCCGAGAGACTGTCAGACTGTGCATTAGTGGTGGGGATTTTTCAGTGACTATTTCTACAGGTTACATTATTACACCAGTTGCGGCAAAGAGATTGTCTTCATGATTGACTTTTGATTAGTGTGTTCCCACTGGAATTTCCAACAACAAGTAGTGCACTTTAAATACCCATATGATGCACTTAAATAATTGTAAAAGTGAAGTGTAAAATGTCGGATACTTCATGCACTCAAATGTTGCAGCTTTAATTACGGACGAAAAGGGGAAGGGCTATCATTCCATATATCAAATCCATACCCAGGGTCATTGGAAATACATGAGAAACTTAACCTATCACTTCAGTTTGCTGTGGCTGTGTTTGGAACTATTTTCATTGGCAGTGCAAATTCAGGCAAGTATCTGGTAATAATGTGTCCAAAACTGTTAGTTAGTTGAAGTATTGTAAAAAGCAGAATCATATTTGCAATTATATTGTGTTCCCTGAATATCAACACTGCTTTACTGCAAAATCACAGTCATTTTGAGAACAACGGCACTCTTGCATTTGTAATATTTCTTAAATATAGGCCTAATGGTTAGAGAGTCGGACTCGTAACCCAAAGGTTGCGGGTTTGAGTCTCGTACCGGCAGGGATTGTAGGTGGGGGGAGTGAATGTGCAGTGCTCTCTTCCACCTTCAATACCACGACTGAGGTGCCCTTGAGCAAGGCACCGGACCCCCAACTGCTCCCCGGGCGCTGCAGCATAAATGGCTGCCCACTGCTCCGGGTGTGTTCACTGCTGTGTGTGTGCACTTAGGATGGGTTAAATGCAGAGCACTAATTCCTAGTATGGGTAACCATACTTGGCCACATGTCACTTCACTTCACTGTCACTTCACAATAGATAAAATAGGTTATATTTTTTGGATGCTAATTGGACGATACAGCATGCAGCATGTTTATGACAGAAGCTAATTGTGACTCCAAATACATTCAGAACTTTTTTTTTCCCTAAGTAAATGTGTTCCCATATGTTGCCATAATATAAACATTGCTGCAACACACTCTCAAGGCAATTCATAACTATTTTACATATACAAATTCAACTTTTTATGTATGAATTTGTATGACCTTATTTGTACATTTTTGTATGATCTTGTATGATCAGCCCCACTGACTGTTAATGTTTAGACAGTCATATGAGCCACATTGTTTTCTCATGAGACTGGGATGGATTTTGGATTTATCATTTGTGATGCCAGTTTGAGCATTTCATTCATCATTGGAATATTTAATTAATTTTTTGACAAGGTTACTGGATTAAAAAAAATAAATATATAGTTTATGCTATCCCAAATGATGGGAAAATATGCATTTCATTTTAGCTTTTGAGTTTGAGTTTAGCATTGAGAATTTGATTAATTATCATTGCATTTGAGAACTTGATTTATCATTTGAGCTTCCGTTGCCAAAAATGCAATTAAATAAATAAATAAAACACCCAAGGTTATTGTTGTTGTTATTATTATTAAATTGTGTATTGACCAATTAGCATCAATAAATTGTATTACCAGTTTCATGTTCTCATTTTCAACTTTCAAATATATTTTGACATGACAAGACATGACATCCTACATGTTTCATACTTTGCATGCTGAATTTAGCTCTTCATTAACATGGCACAGAGTTCTGTCATCAAACGGTATGCATACTAGCTCAAATGAATTGCATAGCAAAGCTTGATTGCCTAATTTGAGACAGTAATAGCCTTGAGATACCCCTCACCTGATCCTCTACCCGATAATCAGGGCTTCTGCGATAACACACACACAGGCTCTGCATGAATGGATGAGCACTCCCTATCCCCACAGGGACAGGTAAATCAACCTCAAAGCTGAGATATGAGAAGCCTTGGTTATTTGAACCAGCATATGTAAATGACAGCTATTTTTAGGCTCAGAGTCCTCACACTAAGTAATTCAAGCCCAGAATGCCTCGCTCCCTGTGTGTGTGCACGCGTGTGTGTGTGCGCGCGTGTGTGTGTGTGCGTGCGTGTGTGTGTGGCGAAAAGTAAGCAGTCTACATCAGTGTTGAGTGCCAGTTTGGCTAAACAGATATCAGTGATGTGTACCCCTTCTAATAGCTACTGAAGTAAAACACTGCAGCAATTGCTTGCAGATCTTCGCCACGTTTTTTCCACCGAGCACTTGGTGTCTGACAGCTCTTTACTCGTTCACTGCACACGAATGCCAGTTCATTTTCTCCATCCCCCAGTTTGTCTTTTCTTATTTAGATGAAGCACATTTGTATCACACTCAATGCACCTGCATGTCGTTGATCCCAACCGACAATGCACGCTCTAAGCCACTTCTGAATGTGAAGATGGATGGCTACAACGAGGCTAGCCATGTATGGGATTGATGCCAGTGCAGAGACTGAAATTGTAGTTACTTTCCGAGGCTGTTCACAATCTCCACAAGACAACCCAAAAGGGAAATTCCACTGTTTTTTGATATCAGACTTATTTAATCTGTATCGACAGACTCTGTTGTCAGAGGGTTGTTGTTTTAAGAGAGAGATTCCTCATATTGATACCATGAGTAGCTTGTATAACTTTTTTTGAAATCATCTAGGCATTTATTGTTCCTTCGTTCCCAGGGCTTGTCCCACAACTTCGGAAAAAAAGCAGCGAGTGCATTAGATAGTACATTCTTTGGATGTTTACTATGTCACAATGGTGCCTAGAGGACACAGTTATTGCTCTTTTTATTTTATTGTTCTTTCATCTCCCATTTTGGGTTCAGTTGTTCCAAAATTGTGGTTTCTCTTCTTCCTGGCCACAAGGGCACCCTGGGACTCCACAAACAGCCCCAGTGGGGTCAAGGCTCATTTGTAGAACCAACCAAGAATAACGGTCATGTTCTTTGGCTAAGGACATTTGATGAAGTTATAGTTATGTTTAATGCTCAGTTATGTCTAATTTAAGAATCAACTTTGTCATAGAATTTTCTCATAAAGGGTTAGGCTTAATTTTGGCCTAAATAAATAAATATTGACACAAATGAGGCAATTGCCGACATGCAGTGATTGTTTAGAGCTCCAAAGGTTAATATCTAATTTAATGTGATGTAGTTACACATTTCATATACTTGCTTATTAGTAATATTAATAACACTTTATTTTAAGGTGTCCTTGTTACACGTTACATGTACTTACTATTATAATAACAATTAATTATGCATAATTGCATGCAAGTAACCCTAAGCCAAACCCTAATCCTAACCATATAGTAAGTACATGTAGTTAATTAATATTACTCAGTGCTTAAATGTATAATTACACTGTAACAAAGATACCTTAAAATATAGTGTAACCTTAATAACAGTGAATTGTGCATAATTACAATCATCTAACCCTAAACAAAACCCCAATCCTGACCATAACTCTATAGCAATTACATTTGTGGATAATTATTATCATTCAGTACTTATTTGTGTAATTACACTGTAACAACATCAAGTTAAAATAAAGTATAACCATCTAAAGTTATTGGCGATTTGCATAGCTTAGATCATTTGGTCTTGGATGCATGGAATGAGTTCATGAAATCTCTGACATGTACCTAGCAACCAAAGTCAACTAATCCAATCACAAGTTAAGTCATTGTTGTGATATTTTCTGAAACTGTAGAAATACGTCCGATGATTGATTGATTATTTATTTCATGCCTCATTCAAAGCATTTTTTTCCCGACTGATGTTAATGTGTAATGTCCACAGACACGTACATGTCATTTGCATCTAGAACAACCTATTCCATAGTGTTCTTTCTTATACATAAGCTTCTTTAGTTCCATATTTAAAGTTCTATCTTGAAACTGCAGAGTAATGTAGCCCCGGTCACATAACATATTTCCCAAAGCTAAAGCATCACAGCTTTATCACTTTTAGCATATCACCTTGTTATGTAATTTCCCTACAAGAAAGCAGGAAGCGAGAGATGCTAGCTTGAAAAATCAGAGGTCAGATTTAGTTCACAGTCAGAAAATGGGTTGTTTAAGAGCGAAAACAACAACTGTTGTCTGATACTGGCCATATCAATTTTGGTTATTTTTTTTTCATAATTCTTTTCACTCCTTTCCATTGTCACACTGACATATGATTAATGCAGCTGTTTCTACTTTGTCAAGTCATTTTTATACAAATTTGCTGGAATAATGGATCTGTAATTAAGCTGTAAAATGACCCTTTGTGAAGCTCAGAGCACCATGATTACATGTCATACGAGGTCCATTGTTACCCAGACAAATTGAAAGTTCTGATTAGCACTCAGTGAAAAGTCTCTTTCTTTCTTTCTTTCTTTCTTTCTTTCTTTCTTTCTCACATGATACCTTGAGAACCAAAGGATAGGGACATTGTATCAATGCATTTTTAAGGAATAAACATACCAAATCTCCAGTTTAATATACATTTATTGTAATAAGTATAGTGTAGCCATTACAGTCATAACCTGTGTCAATTAATTGTAATGGTGGTATGTATTGATTTCAGTAAATTAAAACACTGGGTAACACTTTACTTGAAGGGGTGTGCATAAGACTGACATGACACCTTCATAATCATGACATGACACATGTCATGAATATGACGGTTTTTATGCATGTTTATGACAACTGTCATTAAGTGTCATTCGCTCAGTTATGTCATTTTTAATGTAAATATGACATTATTTGACCTAACCCTAACCTAACCCTACCCCTACCCTTACCCCTAACCCCATTATTTGACCTAACCCTATCAAACAATGTCATCTTTGCATTAAAAATTACATAACTGAGTGAATGACACTTAATGACAGTTGTCATAAACATGCATAAAAACCGTCATATTCATGACATGTGTCATGTCATGATTATGTAGGTGTCATGTCATGATTATGAAGGTGTCATGTCAGTCTTATGCACACCCCTTCAAGTAAAGTGTAACCAAACAGGGTACTATGTAAATGTGAGAAAGCCCAGCCTCCCTTTGTGTACTTTGATAGTTCAGGTAGTATCATATCAAACTTCACCAAAGTAGGTATAGAGAGAGAGTGGACGTATAATATAGTGTGAGAGGTCTGTATTTATGTTTTTATTTCAATATAAACTTTCTTCATGTAAACACAGCAACAATAAATAAGGATGATATGGAAAATACATATTTTAAATGCATAGTGACATTAGTAAAATAAAGCAGCAGATTTTCTCTGGATTGGTATTCTTCACCTGCCAATTTCAGCATAACATGCACGAACCCACATTTCTGCTGACCTAGAGGAAGCAGCATTGTGTGTGGAGACAGGAACATGCAGGTTTTTCTTCATATTGCTACAAAATCAGACCTCAAAACAACTAAATATGTTTTAGGACAGCTAATTGTTTAAATTATATGATATGTTCACTGTAAATTCCAATTAGTAAACCTTACTTAAAAAAAGCATGCAAACCGATTGCCTTGAAAAAGCCAAGTAAAGTGAAATAAGAATAACAATTTGTAATAACAAAGGTTTATTTAGTGTTGTAAACTTACACGCAAGTTCTGGTAACTCAGAAAACCGACTGGTAAACCGATTGCCTCAAAAAAAAACAAGTAAGCGTTACTCCACTAATTTAAGTGCTTCAAATATCCATTACAAATTACTGACAACAATGTTCCATTCATCACACACACATACAATTACACATACATTTAAGGTAGTTGAAAGTTCAAAGTTAAAGGTAATGTTTTTAGATTTTTTTTCTCAACGCAGTTTTAACTTGTATTACAAACATTTTGAAACAAAGCAAAAACAATCTGATATAGGGTATGCTTCTTGTAAACAGTGGAGGTAGCAGTACAATGAATAAGTATGGCACTGGGTTGGCCACACATGTTTCCAATGTTTTTTTGTTTGTTTTTCCTGTCCCAAGTCAAGCATTACACTGTAAGTGTTCTTCACAGTATTAAGGTAATCCAAATGTACTGTACCAGTGATCCAAACATAGCACATGGCAGTCCGGAAGCAAATGGCTGAGGTAGACCCTGGAGACTGTTCTTTGCAGTACTACCCTGAACAATGATGGTAAAAGACAC